TGAATGAACAAGTGGATTAAGTAATTAAAGAGAAAAGAGTAAAAATCCACCAAATAGTGACAGGCTTGGTACCATAGCCTGGGATTAAAGTGGGTGACTAAAGTAAACATAACTGTTAAATGTAGAGAGTCAAAGTATAGAAGATGTGCCATTATGATGCCTCAAGTGCACTAAAAGCATGTTAGGGCTGCCTGTGTGACCTATGTCGGAGCTTGGATATCAGGTCTGGTCCAGCAAACTGAGACTTCCCCAAGTAAACCCTATATGGACCAAGTCCTCTCTCTCAGTCCTTTGACATCACTCTGGAAGAAAATAGAAGAAGCCAAGTATAGTGGCACACCTCTATAATTCCAGCTACTTAGGAGACTAAGACAGGAGGAACACAAGTTGGAGGCCAACTGGACATCTTAGCAAGATCCTCTCTGAAAATAAAAAAGGGTTGGGGATGTAGCTCAGAGAGTACTGCCTAGCATTTGTGAGGTCCCTATTACTGCCAAAAAATAAAAAATAAATAAATAAAAACCCACAAATGAATAAATAAAATAAAAAGGAAAGGGAAAGAGAAAAATGTAAACAAATACTCATTTCCCTTTTAAGTCTTCATCTTTACTATCCCAGAAATTCTTTTAAGAACCTCAAGAATTTTTTCCTTAAGAAAGAGGCACAGGGCTGGGGATGGGGCTCAAGCAGTAGCGTGCTCGCCTGGCATGAGTGCGGCCTGGGTTCGATCCTCAGCACCACATACAAATAAAGATGTGTCCACTGAAAAACTAAAAAATAAATAAATATTAAAAAATTCTCTCTTTCTCTCTTTCCCTCCCTCCCTCCTCCCCTCTCTGTCTCTCTCCTCTATCTTAAAAAAAAAAAAAAAAAGAAAGAAAGAAAGAGGCACAGTGGTTCACACTTGTAATCCCAGCAGCTCAGGAGACTGAAGGAGAAGGATTGTGAATTCAAAACCAGCAACTTAGTAAGGCCTTAAGCAACTCAGTGAGACCCTGTCTCTAAATAAAAAACAAAAACAGGCTAGGGATGTAGCTCAGCAGTTAAGTGCCCCTGAGTTCAATCAAAAAAATTTTTTTTTCCTTTTTTCTTAAGATTGTCAGGTACTTCTTATCAACTATTTTAAACTAGGGGAACGTAGGGGCTGGGATTGTGGGTCAGTGGTAGAGCGCTTGCCTAGCATGTGTGAGGTCCTGGGTTAGATCCTCAGCACCACATAAAAATAAATAAAATAAAAGTATTGTGCATAACTACAACTAAAAAATAAAAATAAATAAAAATTTAAAAGTAGGGAGGGGCTGGGGTTGTGGCTCAGCGGTAGAGTGCCTGCCTAGCATGTTCGAGGCGCTGGGTTGGATCCTCAGCACCACATTAAAAAAATAAATAAAATAAAGGTATTGTGTCCAACCACAATTAAAAAAAAAGTAAGGGAATGTAGTAAACAGACACATTATAGGACCAAATAGCAACAATGATCCCTAACATAATCAATCTCAAGATCCTAAGATCCTAGATGAGAATGAGAGGAATTCACAAATATTTCATGGAATCAGCCACCTACAGAAGCCTCCTTGACAAAATAAATTATCTCAGGGGTCCCCAAGAATGCCTACACAAGCCAGGCATAGTGGCGGACACCTGTAATCCCAGGGACTTGGGAGGCTGAGATAGGAGGATCACAAATTCAAAGCTAGCCTCAGTAATAGCAAAGCCGTAAGCAACTCAGCAAGACCCTGTCTCTAATACAACACAAAAAGGGACTGGGGATATGGCTCAGTGGTTAAATGCCTCTGGGTTCAATTCCGGTACCAAAAAAAGAATTCCTACATATACATAGCTGCTCTCATGGCTAAATTTTATTACAGTGCAAGTCTATTGGCAAGGGAAAAGGACACGGGTAGTATCTGGAGAAACCAATGCACAGGCTTCTTTATGTTTTCTCCATCTTATGAGGAAAACACCGACTCTGATCCTTGCTACAACAGCAAAAAAATGCCAGATAAATCCATTAAAGACTTTAGCACCCAAGGTTTTTATTAGGTCTGGTCATATAGAAATTGTCTGCCTAGCAACTATTAAAATTCCAGATTCCCAGAAGGAAAGCAGACGTTTGAAAGGTATCATATAGTGTGTACAAAGAGTCTAGGCACAGTGACCCCACCATCTTTATCAGTTAGGAAATGGAGGGAACAGTTCAAGTGCCAAGTGCCTAGAGTCTAGCCAAGAGCCAATCTTGCAAGCAGGCCCTTATAAAGAAGGCAGCCTCTGACCTGCTCTGTTAATTCTTCTGAAGTGATGGTAATTATTTCCAGTGAGGCTGAAGTGGTATTAGAAAGCTGCCAACCTCAGATAGAGTTAATTAACTGTAAAATATATTGTAATCTTGACAACTGAAGCAGTTATGACAAGATACAAAGACAATAACATTGAAATTACACAACCTTTTTTCCCCCAGTGTTGGCGACGAACTGAAGCACACACTCTACCACTGAGCTACACCCCAAGTCCTCATGTTCTTATTACTAGTGAACAGGCAGAAGGCAAGCTGAACTTAAGGTGCACTTTTCAGAGTTATTGAGTGGGACAGGGTGCTATTACTCCTGAACCATTTTCTTAAAGATCATCTAATTCCCTGAATCCTCTTTCTCCAAATCCAACAATCAAACTTCTGACAGATTTGTTGGTCCTCCTACTAGGAGGAGAACATGCTGACTAGCTGGCATGAATCTGACTTAATAAAGCAGCCCTGTGGTCCATTATGAAGTTTATCTAAGTATCTGCGTTATCATTCAATTAAGTATCCATAGGCCTGCCTTTAATTAATATCCTTTTTTTGTTTTGTTTTTTTAAATATTTATTTTTTAGTTGTAGTTGGACACAATCCTTTATTTATTTATTTATTTATTTTAATGTGGTGCTGAGGATGGAACCCAGAGCCTCACACATGCTAGGTGAGCGCTCTACCACTGAGCCATAATCCCAGCCCCTGTTTTGTTTTTTAAACTCAGGAGCACTTTATCACTGAGCTACATCTCTAACCCTTTTTTACTTTTCATTTTGAGACAGGGTCTTGCTGAGTTGCTTAGACTGGCTTTGAACTTATGATCCTCTTGCAGGAGCCTCCCAAGTTGCTGGGATTACAGATGTGCACTGCTATGCCCAGCCATTCAAGTCATCTTGTTGATCTTCACAATAGTACTATCAAGTATGGTCCTGGTTTGTTTGTTTTATTTTGTTCTGTTTTACAGGAGAAAGTGAGGAACTGACCTGCCCAGGATCACAGTAAACAAGTGATATGGGATTTAAATTCAGATAGTCCTATCACCCAAACTCATGTCCTTTTCATTCTGTTATAGACACACTTTTTTTTTTTTTTTTTTTAAGAGATGAGGTCTTGTGATGTTGCCCAGTTTGGTCCCAAATTCTGGGCTCAAGCAATTCTCCTGTCTCAACCTCCTGAGTAGCTGGTGCATGCCACCATGCCCAGCTTATACTGTCTTTAATTAGAAGTCAGTCTAGTTTCCTAGGACCTGCTCACCCTGCAGGTGAGTGATTAAATCAAGTCTGAGAACATACACATCTAGGTAACTGCCCAAGTGTCTAAAATAGCTTTTCAACTTCACCCACCCCATATCACCAAATGCAGCAGACAGGTCTACAATCACCATTACTCCTGTCAGAAAACGTCCTCTTTTCATCTGCCAGAAAGCTGAGTGGACAAACCACCCCATCTCTTCAGGGCTAACACACTGTGCTCAGTCTCACCACAAGCTTTTAGGTGAAGAGTTGATATTTGCTGTTTACCCACTCTATGCCTAGTCCTGAGGGAGAGACTTTATACTCATATAAGGAGACAGGCTTTGACAATTTAAGTAACTTGCCCAAGAAGAGGCACAGTGACAATGCAATGACCAAATTCAGGTCTGATTCCAAAATCTGCGTTCAAGTACCACCCCAAGCACATCTTTGGCTTTCACCTTTCTCCCAAGATAAGGATTCCTCTGGCATGAGTTCTTTCTCTCCTGAATCCATCCCAAGCTCAATTCTCTGCCACTGTCTCCAAACACAATCATTTACCTAGTCTAGTGCCTCCAACCCCAGACAATAATAATGCGCAATGGTTTTGCAGTTCAGAAAGCACTTTCAGAACAGTGCTTCATCTGCCCCCTTCCCCGGATTGGAAGTAAAATCACGTTTTAAGACAAAAAGATATCTCCAAGGTCACAGAATAAAAACCAGGAGAAATCGTGACCAGAGTCCCAGGTGTTAACCTCCTCACTGGTGCCCAAGGTTCAGCACCAGCACCCGCCCCAACGATGTCACAGCCCCCTCTCCGCTGGAAGCTCACCATCCTCCCACGCCTCCCCACCCGCGATGTCCTCACCAGTCGGATCCACCCCTCCCTTCTATTAGATCCCTCCCCTCGCGGAGCTCCTCAACTCAGCAGTCCCCTCTAGTCACAGGCCGTTCCCCACTTGACCGCCCTCAGACCCTCGCCCCGCCTTCCTGCTTCAGGGCACCAGGACCCTCCTCCTGTCAGCCCTCGGCCGAGACCACCTAGATTACCTTCTCCAAGGATGCTGGTCTCTGCACTGCCAAGGAACGGGCCAGTGACAGGACTGTGTTGAAGTAGAAACCCCGCGAGGCGCTGGAGCCGGAGCTGGAGCCCGAGCTGCTGCCGCTTCCCCGGGCCGCGGCCGCCGCCGCCGCCATCATCGCGCGCACCGCGGCGTAGGAGCAGGCTACCAGCACCCGGCCAGTGAGCTCCCGGGCTCACGGCGCAGGCGCAGGCGCAGGCGCAGCCGCATCCGGCTTCCCCGCCACGTGACTTCTCTGTTGCCGACGTTGGGTAGGGCGTGGCCGTGAGGGCGATCCCATTGCTGCAGGGGGAGAGGCACCGTAAAGTAGCCTCTGCCACGCGCTCTGGACGTGGCGTACCCCCTCCCAAGCCGCCTGGCGTAATGGTCGGATCCGAGGCGGGGCTGCCGGCGCTTTTCAGGCGGAAGGAGCTCGCGCGACCGCCGCCGAATCAAAGGGCGGGGCGTGGTGCTTGGCCGGTTCTGGCAGTGCTCCTCCTCTTCCCGGACCGAGACGCTCTCCGGCACCATGTCTGCTTACCCCAAAAGCTACAACCCTTTCGATGACGATGCGGAAGACGAAGACTCTCGTTCGGCCCCGTGGAGAGATGCCCGCGACCTCCCCGACGGAGCCAACGCACCCGCCGACAGGCAGCAGTACCTGCGGCAGGAGGTGTTGCGCAGGGCAGAGGCCACAGCCGCCAGCACTAGCAGGTCCCTGTCCCTTATGTACGAGTCCGAGAAGATTGGGGTTGCCTCTTCCGAGGTGAGTCTGGGACAGGACTGAGCTGAACTGGCCAGTCTTTACATTGTTAGACGTGATTGAGAAATGTTTTGTTCATGTTCTTGAGAATTCCCGATTTGTCTACCCTAGGTTCTTGTACTTAGTGATTTTACCGTTTGTAATAATATGGTAACTATGTAAAGAGACATGTATTTTGAGTTCTTGAAAGAGACCATTTACCCGGGGAATCTTCCTTAACTATAACTCCATTTAGTTGATTTTTTCCCCCCTGTGTGCTTAGTTCAAAGGTAAACTCCTGAGGCATGAGAGCAAATGGGCCTTGAGTTCTTCCCTCCATTCTTGACCATTTCTCCACCTTACTAGTAAAGATTTTAAAGATCCATGTGTGTGGACACCTCCTGAGTAAGCTGAACCCTGAATTTGGTTAAGTCTAGAGCCTTACCTTTACTTCCCAAATCCTACACAGACTGCACATGGGTTGCGACAGTCTTGCTCCAGTTCATCTTTGTCAGCTTTTTCCAGCCAAAGATTTCAGAAAGTAGGACTTCCAATGAGAATCATTCTCAATTTAGCTTTTTCAATATATTTTCTTTTCAGCCTGATAAACAGTTTTGTTTGAACAAAGAGGAAAAAAATCGAAGAGATTATGGTAGATCAACTTGGAATAATCTTAAGCATTTTGATGTTGCAAATATAATGGTTGAAACTAAAATATGGTCTTTATCCTTGGGTCTCTTCATAACTCTTCTCTGGCAGAGTTCATTCTCCCTGATCACTTAGGGTCTTAAGTGATCAAGGTATGAATATATTGATTAACTTCTCTAATATTCATCTCTATCATTTTCCTAATGTTGGTTTTCCTGGGTTATTTCCTTTACCCACTTCTCCCTTTTATGGTATCCCTCATTAATCTACCTTCCTGTCTTTCATCTCACTGAGGAGGGTTTGCTTGTGGTTTTTACATCACATATGTTTCTATGTTCCAGTCCAAATGGAAAGTCTCAATTTACATTTTGGATGATCACCAGAGGTCTTGGGGCTCTGGTTTACAGGGGGGTTGATTGGGGGGTCCCAACTTTAAATAGTTTAAATAGTTCCCAACTAAGAACTATTTAAAGAGACATTTCTGGAAACTATGAGAACGAAAAAAAATCGGAAATTAAAAATGAGGTACTGTAGTGGTCTCAAGCCTGTAATCCCGGCCACTCAGGAGGCTGAGATAGAAGGGATCACAGGTTCAAAGCCAGCCTCAGCAACAGTGAGGCCCTGTCTCTAAATAAAATACAAAATAGGGTGGGGATGTGGCTCAGTGATTGAGTGTCCCTGAGTTCATTCCCTGTACCAAAAAGAGAGAGAGAGAGAGAGAGGTTGTGGTAGAAGATAAACTTGAATTTGGTTTTGAAGACTAAGATTTGGACAAGAAGAGTGAGGATGAAGGATGTTCCCAGGGAAGAGAGGGGGAATATGTAAATGAATTGGCTTAGAAATAAGGTTCCTGAGGCCTGGGTTGTATTTCAGTGGTAGAGCACTTGCCAAGCATGTGTGAGGCACTGGGTTTGATTCTCAGCACTGCATATAAATAAATGAAGTAAAGATCCATTGACAACTAAAAAAAAAAACGATTCCCGGGCTTCTGAGGAGGGGCATGATAGACAAGATATGTGGAAAGAAGAAGCTGCTTAGAAATCCCTGGTGGTCAGAAGAAAAGATTTGTTATCATAATTCAGGAGAAGCAAAAATACAATAGGTGTGAGTTTATAATGTAAATTATGGTGACATGTGCCATGCTACCCCCAAAAGGTTCTTCTCTCTGTGCAATGGACTGTACACAGGCACTTGCACCTCTCACATAGGAGGCTTTGCCTGGGTGTTACTTGGAGAGGTGCAGTATGACTGGGCAGGTGATAGGCTTTCTCACCAGTGATTAAACATTGAATTTTTTCAGGATTGAATCAGTTCTCAATCATTAGAGGCTGAAACACCAGCACAGTGGCACATGCCTATAATCCCAGTGATTTAGGAGGCAGAGGTGGGAGGATCACAATTCGAGTCAGCCTATGCAACTTAGCAAGACCTTTCCTCAAAATAAAAAATTTAAATGAGCTAGGAGGTGTAGTTCAGTGATAGAGCACCTCTGAATTAAATCCCAATACCACACACACACACACACAAACAAATTATTAGAGGCCCTGCAAGTCAGAAATAATTAGCACCATCACCCTACCCCATATTGTATAAACTGTCTTTGAATCATTACTCTTTCATTCCCTTCATTGTTGGGATGGGAGTGGGTAATGTGAAATCTTTTGGTCACGCAGTGCTCCCAACAGACTCCAGTCCTGTGTACCCTGCTAACTTCCAAACTTAAATGGGTGCCTAACAAATACCCAGCACTGTGTAACATATTAACACTTTTTTTTTTTGTACTGGTTTGAACCCAGGGCCTCACACATGCTATGCAAGTGCTCTATCACAGAGCTACGTCCACAGCTCACTAACGTAGATTTTTATAAGAGGAGGAACTTATAAGTAATATGAAATTGGGAAGATCATAATTCAATCCCAGCTTGGCAGAAATGGGAAAATTACTTAGTAAAGTCACTTTTAACAAGGAGAACTGCACTTTCCTATTGTGAAACTTGACAAGGTTTGCTTCTCAAAAAGGCTCTAGCCATAGTCATGATGACCAAAGGACAGAGAAATAGAGTGGGGCGTGTACCACCTGACTAACAGAACTATTGGTAGGTGTGATTTCTTTGTCCTTTCCTAAGGTTAATTTTTGCAAAAAGATGTTCCAGTCATGTGGTTCAAAATTTAGCTTTTCTTTTTTTTTTTTTTTAATCTGCCATGCCTAAGGGATTGAACCTAGGGCTTCATGCATGCTAGGCAAGCACTTTACCACTAAGCTACACCCCAAGCCCTCAAAACATACAGAGGATTATGAAATTTCCTCCCATCCCCCTGCCTTAGCCTCCCTTTTCTCCTAAGTAAGATAGCTACTACCATCTGCTGATTTGGTGTCCTTATAGAAGTACTCCATATATAAAGACATAGTTTTTATTCCTTTTTTTTTTTTTAACTTAAAGTGAAGTATTCTATACTTTCTGATACATACACAGCTTAATAGAATTGAAGATCATGCCATAGCAATATATAATGAGTTGTTTGGGGAGTTTTGGGTTTTCCTTTTTTGATTTATTTTGGTTTTGCTTTTTTAATGGTTATGTTATATTCTATTGAATGGATGAGTTCTGTTTATGCAGCCTACTCCCTAATGATGGACATTGTGTTGTTTTTACTTTTTTGGTAAGCCTGGTTGAGTCCTGCTTGGACCTGTTTTTGTTTGTTTTCAATACTGGGGATTGTACCCAAGTGTGCCCCAGCACTAAGCTACACCCTTGGCCCTTTTTATTTTTATTTTTGAGACAGGGGCTTGCTAAGTTACCCAAGTGGACCTCAAACTTGCAACACTCTTGCCTAAGCATCAGGTAGCTGGATTACATGTGTTCACATGCCCCACTTGTTCATGGTTTTTGTACGTCCTTTCACCACCCTGGCAGAGGATACCCCTCTTCGCAGGACACTGCTTTTCCTCTAGAAACCTAGCATATTCCAATGAAGATTTCTGGGGCCTAGGGTCTCAGTTCAGGGTCCAAATGGCTGACTCAACAACCTCAGTGGAAAGGACTGGTGTTTAATAGTGTGCAAGCATGATATACTCAGCCATCCTGGCCAGCACAGGCCCACTCATCTCCATGTATTTACAGCATTTGACAGTCACCAAAGCCATAAATAGGTGAGAGAAATGAGAATACCCCTCCTAGACCAGGATCAGTAGTCATTGAGGTGACCCCCCCTTAGGATGTTGTTCCCATAACTTAGAGATACATTGCCACAGGGTGGTACCCTTATTTTCTGGAAAACTGGTTGTAGAGCAGCCCACTCCCAGTGAGACTCTGTACTGACCAGAGCCATCCTTCTGAAGCAGCAAGAAGTGATTCTGATGTAGCAGATTTCTTAGCAAAAGCTGATGGAGGGAGAAAGAGAGCTGTTAGGTGAAGTAATTTCTCAGTAGATTTCTAAGTGTCAGATATGGGAAAGGAGCAGTCTCTTACTCAACTTTCTACCTCCACCCATCTCAGCAAAATGCCCGCCCCCCCCCCCCCCAGAGTGTCAATCAGGGATGACTGACTTCAGTCTCCATCTTTTCCAGAAGTCAGACAGATACCATGTGGCCCAAGGCTTCCATCATAAATCACAGTGTTAACATAAACTCTCTTGTCTAGACTAAGCTCTCAAGTAAATAGAGCTGCTCTTATCAGGCAGGATATTCTAAGGATAAGGGACCAGGCAAGGGCCAGATCTTTTTTTGGAATGTGGAGGGTAGGGATAGCCCAGACTTGCTAAATTAGTTCTTTACCAACAATAAACAGGGGTTTGCTTTGGCTGACACAGCAACACCAGTGGAAAGGGACTGGTGTTTGGTAGAGCGCACAGATGCAATGAGTAGCACTTGCATTACCAGCTTTGTCCTCAATGGGTTTCATTCACTTGTTTTTTGTGGTACTGGGGGATTGAACCCACGTCCTTACTCATACTAGGCAAGCAAGCGTTCTACCACTGAGCTAAACGCCCAGCCCCCAGTGTTTTTTCTTGCAACCAAAGGCCTGGTTTTGTGTGTTTGGCTATACTGGGGATCAAACCATGGCCTTGTACATGCCAAGCAAGTGCTCTGTCATTGAACTACATCTTCAATCCTTTTTATTTTTTACTTTGAGATGAGGTTTCTCTAAGTTGCCCTGGCTGGCTTCAATTTTAGAATCCTCCTGCCCCAGCTTCCTGAATAATTAGGATTTGTAGGCATGTGCCACTGCACCGAGCCTGATTTGTGTTTCTGAATCCACTCCATTCCATGGCTGCTATAGTCAGAGACCCAGATTTGACCATGTCCTACGTGTGCTCAGGTATACCTGCCTGTGCATGTTACACGTATGTGATCCCTTGAGAGGGAAGAAACATAA